GAGACCTGGAAGCAGCTCGTCAGGCTGACTATAATCCCCCAGAATATCCTGCTGTCATGGCTGTTCCCCACAACCAGCCCAACACAGCCACATTTCACAAAAGCCTGATCCAGGAGCAGAATCACTATTTCCTGATCCTCAGCTTGAGGATATATCCCCAAAACTCAACCTTACATCCCTATCCCATGTGCTGAAGTAGCTACCACACAGCATGCCCTGACACAGCAGGTAAACTTAGCTTCAGAGCTAATAACCCAGTGAAACAAAATTATTATGAGGAAGGGAGGGTTTACACATCTATATTATTATTTAAGAAAGTCTTTGGGTACCTCTGTGTGAGGTATTCTTCAAGACCACACTCAAAAGAAACCATGAAAGGTGGAATAAAAATCTTGGGTTTTAAATACTTTCTTGAATTCCAAGCTCAATTCCCAAACTAATCTGCTTTGATCTTCCATTTTTCCAAGACAGACATGCTGAACTCCAAAAAATCTTTTCTGAAATATGGATACACAACAACCACTACCCCCTCTAATTTACTGTCTTCACAAAGACAGTAAATTTTACTGCATTTTCATTAAAACAAAGAGGGGCAGAGTCAGTCTCCACCATATCAAAATCATCCACTGTCACCTTGGAGTTTGGTGTAATATTTCAGTGGTGCTTTAGGTATGCGTTTTATAAAGCTCTTAGGGACCCATTAAATACCAAAATTTAAGGTTAAAGGCTGGCGAGCTGAGGGTAGTGAGCTTTTAAATTTATGAAAAGCTACAGAACCAAGAGGCCACAAAAGTGACAGCTGTCAGCACCACTCCATCCTACATTCACACAGGCTCAAAGGAGAAGCCAGCATGCACTCAAAAGAAAGAGAACACTCGTTCCAACTTTCAGGCTATTTTCTAAATACTCTTTTTAAACTCCTTTGATACTTGGAAAAAGCCTTCAAGAAAACATCCACCCCTCTGCAAGCCTTGCCATTTGTTACCTGATCCAGTTCTGCACTCCTTTTCTTCCTCCCAGCTCTAACAAGCATCCTTGCCCTTTTACAAGTTAAGGTCATTCAGAGGATCTATACAAGCAAGCAGCACACAAGCTGGACTGGAGGTCTTGAAAGGCTCACGCTTTCCCTCACCTTTAATAGGGAGGCACCACCCACAGAGACAACACATTATCCCGACATGCACCGCTCCCTCCCGATCCAAATGGGAAGTGGCACAAATCAAAAGGACCACAGCAAGTTGGAACCTGTTGTCTCTGCGGGTGGTGCCCTGCATCTGTACTGGAGATGAAGGCAGCTGTAATCACTTCGGGTTTATGCAAATGAAAGCTGTGCTTCAGCCCCTGGCTAGCTACCAGGAAAGAAAAAAAAAAAATACCACTCTTGTCAATATAAAGTTTGTGTAGATCAAGGAATCAAATTATTGCAATTTGCATAAAAAGCTGAACATCAAAACACGGTTGGGGTGTATCTCCTCAGGATGTGGCAAGGCCACAAATACAAATCTTATCTCTTAACCCAGCCATAATTTAAGTTTTGCTTTCTATTGTGGCTTTGAATTACAGCCTTGTAATTTTAATACAAATAAGTCTATTCAAGGTTTTCAGGAATTCTATCACATCATGGATCTCATTTTCCACGTACCTTTTAAACTGTTAACAAAAAGGGTGAGCACTCGAACTACGGAGCCAGTTAATTGGAGATTCAGCCTTGGCCTAACAGCAAACTGAAGACCAAGGCAGTCTGGTAAACACACACATTGCCTCCTAGCTCCCTGGAGAGCCCTGCAAACCCCTGCGCCAGCACAACCCAGGGCTGGAGCGTGCCACGGCACCGCAGTAGCTGCCGCTGCCAGAGTCAACCCACGCTTGCTGACGCTGCCTTCCTCGGGCACTTCCCCACGCAGGAAGAAGTCACCCTCACGCCCGGAAACTGCAGGAAGGAGCAGGTGCCTGAGCCTTGGCCCTGCCAACCGCCTGGCACCAGAGCACGAGTGCCCACTGTTACATGTTGGGTTTGATTTTAAAGGAGACAAAAAAAAAGTTAAAAATGGAGCATAACTTGCAAAAATGTCCCGGAAGGATTTCTGCTGCCATTCAAGTTGTGCAACGTGCTCGACTGGAGAGAGTTATTTCCATGCAAGCAGTTTGGCATGAAATTCCACTGAAAGGCCTGCGGTTCCCTAATGCTGTCATGACGTCATGATTTAGGATTTTCAGAGCGATCAGCGCAGCACAGCTGGTGTCATGGTTGCCATTATACCATGAAACACTGAGTGGTTTTAAATGGAAAAAGGTTTTCTCGTTTGAAATTCTTAGATTTCTTCCATCTTATTCTGTGGACTCTTAAAACCAGACCAGTTCTATAAGCAGAGTATAGCTGATATTTAAGCGGAGCAGGAAATAGTGCTGCTTTAACTGAAAATAAATCTGTCAACAAGGAGGCACAGGGAGAGCTCCACTTCAGACTTTTCAGGTTCTTATTAAAAAATATAAATTTAAGTCAGCATTTTCACGTTACTTGCTACATCTGTTTGCTATTCCATTATAAATAAAAATACAGGGGCCTCCAATTCAGTGTTAGTTCACTAAAAAAAAAGTCCTTTTCATTTAATACTACATTATAATTGGTCTAGATTGTATTGTATCACCAAAAAAGTCCACCAAAAAAAGCTGCTATACATTACCCAAAGTCAAGCTAGGAGATTAAAAAGACCTTTGGCAGCGTGTTTTCCTTCTCTTTCTAAACTGTGAAGGACAATGTAGTTATGGAAGTCACAAGCAGATCCATCTATGCACTCTTTGCAAAGAGTTGGGAAATAAAACTGCACAAACTAAGTCCCATCTCCAGAGGCCATGGCAATCACGCAAGAGTTCAGTGTCACACCAACTTCAAAGGAAATCTTCCAATGATTTAAACAACTCTGCTGTCACCCCATACTTCTGCCACCCATCCCACGGCACCCTTTACCTGGCACAGCAGAACCCCAAAGTCCTTCAAGCAAAGAAACCAATACCCATTTTCTTAAACAAAGGCTTTATTAAATTCCTTGTCAGAGAACAAGAACGCACAGGAAAAACCACAATTCCTGCAGTGTGCACCCAGTGCTGGTCTGGTGATTGGCAGTTCACATGGCAGTCATGTTTCAAGAGTAGCTAGCAAACAGCAACCACTGCTGGGGGCAAGAATTGCTGGTGAGTGCTCAGCTCCTCTGAAAATCTTCCCTGTCTGTCTACAGTGCTCGCCTACTGGGTAATCACATCAGGTTCAGTGTAAGAGATGTGTTGGTTTTGACATCATTACCCCCAGTGCTGGGGCAGCCAAGGCACATGGACTCTGTAAGCCTCCTCATAGGCATTCAGGGAGTTCAGAGCCCCCAGAGCATAGCACAGACACTTCTCCTGCTTCACTCAGCAGGCCTGGGAAATAATCTGCAGCCTGCATCTAGAAATGGAGGTCTAATTCCTGTGTCCTGCAGCAAAAGGCACATCATGCTACTTCAATCCAAATTTCCAGATCAAACTGTATGACAGTATGAAGTAGCAGGATTAGGAGGTCTCATGCCAGCAAGTTATTAATGCTAAGCAAAGAGAATAAAGTTCCACCACTGGAAAACCTCAAGCTAACAACTCCAACAAAGTCAGTACAGCCCTTACTCCCTCCAAAATCAGTGCCATCAAAACAAGACAGGCAAACAGGGGTTGCCTAATTTTGGCAACCTCAGATTTTCAGTGGCAAAGATGAAATATCATGATCTGAGAACAAAGGCACCACATGAAGGCAGCAACGTCCATAGTAAGGTCTCTTGTGGAAGCAAGGGAAGGAAGTCTTTAACTTCACTTCTCTTCATTTCTTTCACTTGCCCTAGCTTCCCTCTGTCCCAGAAACTAATGACTGGCATTTGATGTCAGTAGATGTGTTGGTTAAATATCCCAGGCAGAGCTCTGTGACACGTATAAACTCCAGTATTAAGAGATTTGTCTTCTGTAACCACAAGCATGAGGAGGAAAAAATTAAAAAAAACAAAAACACACAAATACAAAACAGGAGAAACTGCCTGAGGGCATGAGTAAAGTTAAAGACACTGCCTGACTGCTGCTGTTACTAGTGAAACACCTGGGTGGAAAAAAATAAAACCAAACTGGTAGCTGAATCTTAACCATTACAAACAAAAGAAGCAAAGTTTGAATGAACAAACTGGAGCCTTTGCTGCACTGTACATCAAGGACATTTATCCTGCAACTACGAAACAGCACAAAGGCAATTTCACTAAACAGTGACAGCAGAAACCTGCCATTTCTGGCCACGCTCACAGCCCCATGGCAGCTTGGCTACTGCCACTCACTTTAACTGGGGATAAGGAGCAACGTCAGTAAAAGAAGACAAGAATAAGGTTAGATCATGCTGCTTGCCTGGTCCAATACAAAGTTCCTGCTAAAAAACATCCATACCAACAAGCAAAGATTATAATTTAATTACCAGAGAAAAAAAGAAACAACTAGAGTTTTATGCTTCTGTTACAGAAATTGGCACTTTCTACAGTAGCTACTGGGGTGGCAGGCCACTGACAGTAACACTGCTGTGCCAGCATTAGGAAAAATGCCCTTACAGCAGTTTTCCAGAGGAAGGCATTTAACATGTACAGGGAGGGGTCAGGATTTAAGCATATGACTAACAGACTACCAAGAATGAAAGATGTTCAGTTTAAAAAATTCCCAACCAGTTAGAATTAATTTTTTTTTTAAAAAAAATCAAATAAATCACTCTGCTGAACACCAACAAGGAAATACACTGCATTCAAAGCCCACAGAGGGGAACACAGTAATTCTTCTACATCCAAGAACAGGCACATGCCACCCCTTGCAAGGCCAGGGCTAGGATATTCTCAGCAGAAAACCAACTGTTTAAATAATAAAAACAGCAGGACATGGTTTTTACCTACACTGACTCAAAATACAACAGGGAACACAACAAGCAGCAACAGAACTTAAATGACACTCACTCATGTACTCTGTTGTCTCCATACAAGTCACTTAACCCAAAGCTGACGTAGTGCCAGTGCTCAGGAACATTCAGCGCTGGGTTTCCCAGGTTTCTGTACATGCTAACGTAGTCCAGAGGGTCAGGTCCTCCCAACCTGCATTAAAATCAAAGATTCTTAAGTGAGTTTATTGAAGACAAATGGGAAGTCTCTAAAGGTGCTAAAAGAGGCCTGTACAAACACTTGCTTCAAAACACAGCTAGTGACAAAACTGAAATTAGCATGTTCAGGTTACCTCTAAAAAAAAACTAGAGGAGGAAGGTTGGTTTAAATCCAGAAAGCTTCAAGCACAGGAAGGCAAAGCACACATTTGCAACACAGTATACTGTTTTGAAGGTCAAACCATAAAAACCTCTGGAAAATCATATTAAAGCTTCCAGAAAAAAAAAGAAAATTGGAAAACTGTACTAGTAAAAAATCAATAGCTGTATCTGCACTGTAAACCCTTGATTCAGTCCAGAGGCACATACCTGAATTAAGAAACAACACCAATGTTACCCCTCAAACCAAAATTTGGAGTAGCTAAGTTTTGAGGAAAGTAATCCATACTTCTGAACAAAGACATGGCAGTTAAAACAGTGAAGGAGAAAAAAAACCACATTGATTCAGAAAAATTAGTACCAGAACTTGTTCTTGATTAATGCAGTTAGTGTATTTTACAAGTGAAAAACATCTCTGCACCCTCGGTTTCAACATTAGAATGTGTTCCTTAAAAGGACATTACATACACGTCAGTGCAGCACAGCCAGACTGCATTAGGCAGCATCACCACAACCTGCAGCCACCCTTCCCTGCACCCCCCAAGCCCAAGGAAACAGGCTAGTGTGCCTCCAGAGCACAGCTCAGTCCTGCCACTTGCCATCACAGCCGCCCCCCAGGGGCAGGTCACCTCCTCACCCAAGGGAGGAATGTGCTAGACTGTTTTGCTTACTGTTTGCCCTGTCAATCATAAAGCACATAGGCAGAAGCAAGCAAGGAGAGAAGAAATCAAACCACCTACCACAAGCATTCACAGAAGCATGAGCAGCTATTTAACTGTTGCCTGCCTCCAGTTCACTTTTTCTTCAAGTAAAATACTCTCTACTACTTCAAGCAAGAAAATCCAAAATAAGATGACCCCCTTCATTCAAACCACTTGTTACACACCAACTGTCCTCACATGCATTGTCTGTTCTGAGCCTGACTCTATCCGTAGGCTATGCCTGTTCTTCCCTTGCTAGCCCTGGGGGTTGTGTGCCATCATCATCCACGCCCCAAGGGATGCACAAAAAGTGTTGGAGCACCCCAGTTTCATGCCCTGATTAAAGTACCACTGTCTCATACCAAACACATGCAGGCTCGGCAAGAAATACTTTCTCAGCATCTAGTCTGCTTGTCAGCCTGCTGTAGCACCCTCCACTGTCGCAGCTTCACGAGTCCTGGAAGTGTTTGTGCTTCACATGTGGAGATGCAGACTTGGCCTTCCCAAGGAAGCTCTGAGATAATCAACCAGCAAAGCTTAATCGCACTTATCCCATTTAAGGCCAGCTTCTCAGAGCCCCATCTAGCAGCACAGAGGGAAGGCTGATAAGCATTTCTATCCTCAGGCACCAGTGTAACCAGGCTGCTGGTAGTAAAGTCAGAGTTACACCCACTAGCTTCAGAAAACCAGCAATCAGTGCTGAACAGGTTTAACCCTGAGCTTGCACAATTACCTCAGGACCACATTCACTGAGTGCAGCAATTTCTTGCAGTTCTTTTAGGAGAGACCCTTGGAGAAGACAGTTTTCAGAGCTGAGGTAGCTGGTATTACAAAACAGTGCTAGCAAGTTACTTCAGAATTTGACACTGACATCACCACAGAGCTGCAGCACCCAGGCATCTCTGCAGGGGATCATCAGGAGTAGTTGTCACCAAGGCTGGAGAGATGAATCCAGCCCTTTCTGAATGCTCGTTGGTCTGCCGTGAGGCCGGCCAGCACCCAGTCAAGCCCACATGCAAAGCACCTGTAGGAAGGTGCTTTCCAGGGTGAGCTCCAAACAGAGTTAATGCACAGGGGACACCTCGAGTTCATCACCTGCTGGGACAATGGTGCCAGGGAGGGCCATGCAAACAGGCTTCCTGTAGCTTCCAGAAGTCACCTATGTATGTACTCTCTGCAGACTTCTACTGACAGCAGTACCCTATCTGAAATTCTCTGCCCAACCTCATCCAGTATGCACAAGGCAAGGTATCAGGTTGATATATTAGTAGGCCTGTGGGCTCTCTCCACAAGTGTGCTGTGCCGCCACCTCCCTCCTCATGCTGCAGGGGAAAAAAAAACAAAACAAAACAAAAACAAGCAACACAACAAAGCAGGGTTATCCAACAGGAGTGGCTTTCCCTGCAGCAGCTTCCCTCCTCTTAAGTCACATAAGGCCACCATGGTGGCTCCAGGCCAGCTCCAGCTTCCCAGCAGGTCAGTCAAGGATACAGCTCAAGGTACCAGGGCAGGACAGAGGGTGAGCATCCCAACCCCAGTAATGGCACAGAGGTCCCCTGGCAAGGGCCAAGTCAGAATTATGCAGCTGCCTCATACAACAAGCAGCATCTTTACAGTGTAAAAGGCAAACTGGTGAGCAATCATCAGGAACGTGTGTTAGACCCTGGGGTGGAACAAAGTTTGACTCTCAACAGTCTGGGAAAAATCTTTTCTCAAACTCTAGCAGTAACCTGAAGCACTCAGAAAAAAGGAGTCCTGCTCTGACACACCCCATCTCCACCTGCTGCCTCTCACCAGCAGCTGGTCACGCTGCAGGTGAGATCTCTGCCACACATACCCATTCAGGAGGCTACGTTCGGAGCGTGGCACCAGCACTTGGGCTCCCCACAGCAGTAACTCCCAGATCCACGGTGGAAGCACTTCCAGCCAGGATAGTCACTCAGCTCCAAGGAGCAGACTTGAACAGCAACAGCTGTACACAGTCATCACCTGACTGGGAAGGCTCCAGAGCAAGCAGGGTCAATACAATGACCAGCAAACCAGTGTGAGAGACTGGCAAGTGTGCAGAGCAGATCTGCAGTGAAGGGAAAACACTTCTACTCTTAGGCAACAAGCAACTCCCCCCCCCAAAACTCACTTTCAAACTAGGTTCCTTAACACCTTAAATGCCAAATGATTTGCACTGGAACACTATGCTGCCCTTTTGTGGGACAGGGACCACTCCACATGCATGCTCTTCCCCAGGGCTACTCAACCACATCTGGCAGGTCTGATGTAGACAACGAGGAAGTTAACAGAGGACTTTAGAGCCCTAATGGCTCAATGGTTGGACTTGATGATCTTGGAGGTCCCTTCCAACCTAAATGATTCTATGATTCTGCCTTGACTGCAACAGGCAAGACTGACAACTTTCCCTTGTTCCTGCCAGCAACTCCACACTTCTCTCCAAAGGTCGCCACCAGGGACCTGCAGCACCGTGCTGCCCAGGAGGCAGCTGCAGCAACAGGAGAGCTGATCTCTGTCCTGCCCAGAGCAGATCCAGACAGAATTAGCTACCCACCAGTTTACACACTGCATAACCATCCAGACAGACTGTCTTTACTCCCTGAGAGGCCTGGTAGGCCTAAGAGAGTCAGACAAAAAGCCTGCAGCAGTGACTAATTACATTCTAAAACACACATATCCAAGCCATGTACCTCCCTCTCCTGAAAACGCTGCGACCGCAGGAGCGTCCAGCACCAGCTTTAAACCTGACACCTGCACAGGTAAGAACGTACCCATGGCAACAACGCTCAGCAGAGGCTTCTCAGCACAGATACTGATCCAGGTTTGGCTGCTGCACTACCCAGTCGAGCACCACTACTGCTCGGCTACACCCTCCCACCCACAGCCACCATTGCAGGGTTCGACCTGGTATCATAATCTACATATCAGTAACATGCATTTACACAAAGAGCTGGAAGCGTTGGAGGATTTTATTACGAGAAGCCCAACTTCAAAGCTAGAGGTACAGTACAAATTTGTTACATTCTCTATTCATGGAGCTCATTCAGAAGCAAGAAGGGCAGCCTCGGGGCAAACCAGTATTTGCATTTGCACCAAGAGTCTTCTTTTGAGTGATGTTAAGAGCACTCTTAAGTTTCTGTGGAAGGAGAAGTTCAACGTGGGCAGAAAGGAAACAACTCCACAATGCGGGGGCGTGGGGGGGGGTGAAGAAGAAAATTCCCAATCCATTTACCCTGGAAAGTCCTTAGTGGGTAGGTTGTAATTAAACAGCCGACAACAGGACTGCCTTTCACAGGTCAGCAAACTAGTTTTTGAGTAGATGGCCTAAATTCAAAACAGGTGATTGTAAAAGAACAGTCCAGCCTGAATTCTGCCTATTTCAAAACTTATCAAAAAAGAAAGTACAAATTTGGTTGTTTTGGTTTTTTTTTTCCACCAGCAATTCTACACACCAACGTATTTCACTTATAGATACTCAACCAGGTTTTAAAAATAAAAGCAGATACTGGATATCAACAGAGAGAAACTCCCCCTCAGCACATGGCCTCTACAAAATACAGCCAGGAGCTCTTCCAAGCTGTTTTGGTTGCAATCACCAACTCTCTCCCCAGGTATGTAAATAGCATTTAGAAAAAGACTAATTCCATGAAACAATCCACTTGGCTACGGCCCTTCATTTACAGGTATGCAGTTCTGCAGATTCTCCAGCGTTACAAAGGAAGGACCTGCTCTGCCATGCAAGCCAAAGAACACAACTTTAGCTTCCTGAACAACAACAGAAAATTGCCGTTAACCATAGAGTAACCGATACGTATAATTAAAAGCCGATTAGTATAACAATACTTTTCCTAAGGCAGGGAACTTTGTTCAGCAACTTCCTCTCCTCATCTAAACCAACTAATAGCTGGCAGCACAGGCAGAGGAGGACAGACTAGCAGGCAGGGAGCGAGCAGTGGCAGAAGTCGTTCTACCAGACTCAACAAAATCAGGCTCCAAGTATCATCTAGCAAAGGGAGAGAAAGTACCTGTAGCACCCACATAGGCTCCATCTCATACAAGAATTTCCTGCTCGGGACAGCAGTGAGAAGCTCACCTCCACTTTCTATGAGCAAAGCTCTCAAC